AAGATACATACATAACTTTTTCAATTGATACACATATTTAATTATGCAATTAATTATTTAAATTAGTAAATAATATTAATGCTAATTATTTTTATTTAAAAATAATTAAAATTAAATATTCAACGGAAAATTTTTCCTCATAATCCCATGAATCTTGAAACCGGATTATCTTACTTCAACCTCAATTCATCAAATATTTTATAATTTATAATATAAAATATAATAAATTATATTTAACACAAATGAAATGAGTTTATAAAATGAAATAGTATATTTATCAAAGTTTTCATTTTTAATATAATTCTACATTTCCAAGTTTCAAATTTAAAATCTGAAATATACCTATGTTCTTTTGATAATTTCCACTGGATCACATAATTCAAAATCAGTTTTAAAAAACAAATCTGCCAAATAGATAATTCAGTTCCCAATTTGTGTACTTCTAATCTTTTGGTCGGAGATATATATTATAACTAATTTAGCTGTTCACAATCTTGAAAGTTATTTAAATTTGTAAATGATGTGAAAACTTTAGGCTGTTAGGGATTTTTTATTTTTTATACATTGTGTTTGTTGATGAATGTGATAGTCTTCTGACAAATGAAACGATGACAATAGGTCTGATAAAAGCACTGACAAATAAGTACGAAAAACTCTCAGCTAATTATAAGGTATATCTTGTAAGAAGATTTTTTTAACATTAAGATGGAAGATAATGCTTCTGTCAATTCCTACAAAAATTAGGTCACAAATTTCTTCAATCAATTAACATCAGTTAATATTACTATTAATGACGAAGTAAGTGAAATTTTGTTGCTAATATCTTTACCTGAAAGTTGGAAAATGATGAAGGCCGCTATGTCCATTCATTAGAGGACAACAATGTACGAAACTTTTAGAAACTTGTGATGTGGCAATTGTTGAAGAAATTTGCAGGAAGATATTTGGAAAATAATCTACTTCCAAACAAGACTCAATATTAGATGTTCAAAAAGGTAAATAGGCGGTTGTGTCTGACGATAAGCATAATAGGAGGAATTGGAAGGTCGAATGTTTTCACTGCCACAAAAAGGGTCACATCAAGAAAGATTGTAAAATATTAAAGGAGGATCTGAAAAGGTATATGGTGGAGTCAAATGCAGTTGTAGATGATGCCCTCATTTGTGTTGATTATTTTCCAGTCATTAGAGTGGATAATAGATAGCACATCTTTAGCACATATATCTCCAAATAAGAGATTGTTCATATCTTTAAGAAAAGAAAATCACTACTAAGGTGAGGATGAGGAATGAAAAACTTTCAAAAACTAGAGGGATTAGAAATATACGATCGAAGACTAAGAGTGGGACTGAGTTACTTTTGTGAGATTTCAGGTATATACCCAGTATAAGAATGAACCTTATATATGCAAGTAAGTTGAACGATGATGGTTATCAGAGTGAGTTTGGTGGAAACCAATGAAAGCTCACTAAAGGATCCAAGTTGGTAACAATTGCAATATAAAATCTACAATTTACACGTCGCGATTGAGTGTTGCCAGAGGATCATTGAGACGATCGATGCAAGTTGCAAATAGTGTCCAAAGAGGTAGGACTGAACTTGCAACAAGGACAATCAGAATAGATTATGAGGATCTATCATCAATTCAGGAACAACAATTGGGAAGTCAGAAAACAAAATAGGTTCTTTAGGTTGCCAGGGACTATCCCCAATTGTCAGAAAGATGGATGAATTGATGAAGTCACGTAAACGAATAGTTGCATAAGAGAAGATGAACCTAGTAGGTGTTGAGGTAAAGAGTGGAGTTCAAATTCTAGCAACAGGCTTGAATAGTGCTGTCAAGTCATCAGTGAGAATATCTTTATTCTTTAAGAATCAATATTTGAGAAAGAAGGAAACTTCAGATATCGTCACTTAGTTTGAGTGGGAGCACGTGACTGTGTCTTTTGTGTCTGGAAGACAAAACTATGTACATTTCCCGACCTCAAGGCAAAGATAGATAGGAGTAGTGATTTATGATATTTTGTTTTACAAGTTTGTAACTTGTAGGAAAAGTCTTGAAGTTTTCAAGAAGATCAGAGAACTATTTCAAAAGAAGCCTTGGAGCTTTCAAAGTCGATTATTAAAGATTGTTGTTGTAGTTGGAGGCAAGATCAATGTTTTGTCTCCAAGTGGGAGATTGTTAGGATAATAGAGCCAAAACGGGAGACCTGTGTATCCAACGAGAAAAAAAAATTTCAACACTACTACGAATTTCCACAAAGAGTAGGATATTGCTTTTCTTATAAGGATTAAGATACATTTTCTTATAAGAATTAGAATATTTAGCTTCCTATAAATATAGTCATTTTGTTAAGGTTTTATTTATAGGGAATCCAAATTAAAGAGATTTGAGTGGTTATGTGCAGTATGAGAAAAAGAGTTTGTATTAATGAGTTTAGTGAGAGTATTTTCAATTTTGCAATCCTAGATAACCATTGTTAAGATACTTAGAAGCAAGATAGTCATTGTACAGTGATATCTTCATTGAGATCTACAATGTAATATTCTCAACTATAGTATGATCTCTAAGGTGTTAAGCTTTTTTATCCCTATCTTTTATTCCTTATATTATTGTTAATTACTTATCTGCTTTTAACATGTAGAAAGGGAAAATCAAATAATTCTTGTTGGAAGAACTTACAGGAGGATTAATTGATCTATATTTTTTTAAAAAAATTAAACCTAGCTATGTTGGATAAATCCTCGGAGATGAGACCGAACAAGAGTAATTAGGGAGCCAAATAGCCATTACGAAAAATTGTGGATGAATCTTCAAATCGAACAAAAAGTACTCGAAGTCGAGCAAGATGATCTATCTAGTCACAGAGATTGATAGAAAAGTAGTCTTATCAGTTCTCACACCGGTCTTCCTGGTAGGATAAGAGGTACCTTTGTTCGAGGGGAGGAAATTGAAGATGCAATAGAATGATACCAAGTGTTCCCACAATGTGGTCCTTGTAGCAAGGGCTCTATCTGGACGTGTTAGGATAGAAGCAAACTCTCATTGTCAGTTAGGAGTAGATGAGTTGCATAACTATTCAAAGTAAAATACAAGTGACATTGTGTTCAAGGGGAGGATTGTTGGAGTTGCAAGGTGTGCAAACAAAGTCTCACATCGATTAGGGAAGAGAGTGATCAATGGTATATAGATGAGGACAATAATTATCTCTATTGGTACGAAAATTTTTTGGTGAAACCAAAAGCAAAGCCATGAGAGTTATCCTGAAAGCGAACAATATCATACCATTGTGGAGATAATAGGAGGTACGAGGATACCGTTGTCCTTAACAATCAGTTCATAACACCCACTCGAAATATAATCGTTGAATCAGATTGCTTAGAAGTTGTTTTTATTCTTAGGGGAGAGGAAACAAACCTGACAGAGGTGATCTTGTTCACCGACGAAGCCCTTCATTCAGCGATTCGTTTGAAGGTTAGGTGTTTTGCCATATCTATATAAGTCAGAATCGGCGTGCCCATGAAATTCCGAGGTTTGCGTGCATCGCATGGAGTCAGAAAAATGGATTTTAGTTACCCCTTTCTAGTAGGGGTGTTCAGGAACCCGACAACCCGACGAACCCAACCCAACCTTGGGTTGGGTTGGAAAAATCCCAACCCGACCGGGTTGGGTTGGGTCGGGTCTCGGGTTGACCCCTGAAAATCTCGGGTTTTTGAATAAATCTCAACCCTCCATTCTTTTTAGGGTTTCAATTCCTACCTATTCACTCTTTTCTCTAACATTTTCAATTTCATCTTCCTCTCCTCATCTCTCCCTCCAAGCTTCAAGCTTGGTTCCATTTTTTCAGATTCAATTTCAATCTCGCTGCCGCCGTCCTTGCTCCCGTCTCCACCTCACGTCGTCGTGCCGCTTTGGTATACGGTTAACAAAGTAGTTTTTTTTTTCGCCGCCGCCCTTGCTTCAGTTCTCTGTTTTGTTTTTTTACCAAGTAATTTTTTTTAATCTATAATTATACCCAATATAAAGAACTTGAAAACAATAACTATATCTAGAAAAATATGAACTTTTTTTAGATGGAACAAATTTGCTGAAAAACATGAAGACAAAATCAAGTACAGTCTCCACTTGCTCTCCCTCTTTCAAGATCTTTTTGGTTAT